CATGCAAACATATGGAAACCACAATAGTCATATTAGAACAGTCAGCATAATAAAACAGTCGTAACAAAGTACATAAAATACACATCAGGTGTTAAAGGTAAAATAAGGCATGAAAAAAAAATCGTGCTGGACAAGGAGGTTGCATGATGTCTGAATACGATAGATTGGTGACTCCTTTAATCGCATGTCGGGGTAGAACATGTCGCACTGTCGCGTGAATTTCGTTGGCACACGTAACTTTATGCTGTCCAAAAGGTCAGGTACGTCAATTACACCCTGCATAAGCTTTTGTAGAAAAGCTGCATCTCGGCAATGCCTTCGGTCATCCAAAGTGCTGAGATTCAAAATCTTAAGCAGAGAATGGTGGTCGAAGTAAAGTCTCCTGTGGAAGTATCGATCATAGACTATGCGAACCAAACGCCTTTGAGGCATTACCGAAAACTACTATATTCACCCCCATTACAATGTTCTAAGGCACGCGCAGAATTTTATCGGGTCCCAAAAGAATGCTCAATTTGGACGCGTTTCTGGGTTTCGGTTTCTTATTGGAGCGCTTCTCCGTGCGGGCGATCCCGCCCACTGTGTCTAAAACGCGCAAGGTGCGTTTGCCGCCACGCATCACACGTAAAGGTGGGTCTTCCCACTGGCTTTGGCGTCAAAAAGACAAAACGCATATGACAGTATGAAGGCTTTCTTATCGAGCCTTTCTACGTGCGATGCGTGGCGGTGCACGCACGCTGCGTGTGTTAGACACAGGGTGCAGATTGCCCGCGCGGAGAAGCGCTCTTGTAAAAACCCGAAACCCAGAAACCCGACCACATTGAGAATTCCTTCGGAACGCCGTAAAATGCTGCGCGTGCCTTATATCATTGTGACGTAGGTGTATTTAGTAGTTTTCGATGATGCCCAGCAAGGTTCTAATTCTGACCATGAGTTTAAAATCAATAATGAATAATTTAATTACTCAAAATTAATGATTACCCAATTATATTGAACGCTAATCATTTTCATTAATAGGCCCTTTGACACAGACCACGAAGGCATCAACCTTTTTTCTGTGCAATGCGCAGTTTCTGCAGGAGCGATTTTACCCGCGTTTCCGGAGACACCCTGTATTGTAATTTGTTTTCTGGAAGATGTCTGGCCTTTTATAAGTTTTGAAGGCCCGTAGCTTTCGAGCTCGTAAAACTTTAGGTTACTTTTCATGTGCTGCATCTCAGACAACATCTCGTTTTCGCGGGTGTGCAACTCCGCCCACATGTTAGACCGCATGCTACGAGACAAGATAGTGTGTGAAGTTCGAAATTTTGACGTTCAGAAGGCACTGCTTGCTAGGCCCAAGTTGACAATGCAGGAAACGGAGAACATCGTGCTAGCGGCGGAGGCCGCGATACAAGGTGTCAAGCTCATGAAGCCTTCAGACGTGAAATCAGAGCCGGAATTGCACAAGCTGGTGTGTGAGCAACGACCGGGACCGCCAAGGCAGTACAGCAAGAAAAAAACGTGGACAGTCACTAGCGTGCGAGCGGTGTGGCAGCGAGGAACACTCCATGATGGCCTGCACGTTCAAGAGTGCGAAGTGTTTCCAGTGTGGAAAGAAGGGACATATCGCAAAGAGGTGTCGCTCCAAGGGCAAGCGACAACAGATAACGTTCGCATTAACCATGAGCTCCGCTAATGACGGCGACACAGCATTTTCGTCGCAGCTGCTGTCCTTGAAACAGAAAACGATCGAGAACAAAATCGTCGATCCAATTCGGCGGAAATTCTATAGACCAGCACGCGGCACTGACGTCACGCAGCTGCGGTGGCGCTGCCGACGGCACTGCGCATGCCCAGACGCTTCACTTCACGCGAATTTGGTTTGTGCGCACGCGCAGTGCCCACACGTGGTGTGGGCAAACGAGGGATTGTTTATAAACAGCGTGTCGGTCATGGCGATCGACATGGGATCACCTGAGTGCGTTGTATCTTGGCACGTCTAAAACAAGCACACGGAGAGATGGCCAGGACTCGAGAAGTCAACCCTAAAGTGGTCTTGCTATTCGGAGCCACTGCCTATTGCTGGTAAGCTCACGCTTCCTGTTTCTTACGCCGAAAGACTGTCACAGCGTCGATGACTACTTCGCCAGCCAGGACCGTGTATGTGTGGCCAAGACCTGATCCCAAGCGCTAAACAACTTGGGGATTCCTGTTCTCAGTGTGTCCAACTCGAAAAGCCAAGGCAAAAGGGAGTTTGACGCCATGATGGAACTTAAGACGAGGACAAAAAGGAGACTAGACAACACGGAGCGCTCCGTGTTGTCTAGTCTCCCTTTTGTCCTCGTCTTAAGCGCCATCATAACGTCAAATTCCCAGTACCAACTAGCCCAACAATCTGCATTGCAAAAAGGAGGACCCACAGAAAATCTTGACCGAGTACGAAGATATGTTTAAGCCAACGCTAGGTTGTTTGGGGTTCCTCCCACTCACCTGTATATATGACAAGGAGGGGTCGGTTCCAAAGGTTCTTACAGGCCAGATCTCTTTCGTATGCAATGAGAGACATGGTTTCTGACGAGCTCGACAGGCTAGTGGAGAACGGGGTTCTGTCTCCTGTGGCACACTCAGAGTGGGCAACCCCGATCGTGCCAGTTGTGAAGGACGGCTCAGTCAGGATTTGTGGTTACTAGAAGCTACTCGTAAACGCGGCATGCGTTACAGAGAAATATCCGCAACCTGTGATTTATGACCGCTTTGCAGCTCTCAACAAGGGAGACGAGTGCAGTGCGTAAGATCTTCGCGACGCTTACATTCAGATTCCCCTGGACAAAATAGTCAAAGAAGCTGACGGTCACCAATACCCTTCGAGGACGCTTTTGTTAGAAACGTCTGCCGTTTGACGTGTCTTCTGCGCTAGCTATTTTTCACCGTAGTATGGAGACCATGCTGAAGGGCATCCTAAGCATGCAAGCATATTTGAATGACGTCCTGATGGCAGAAAATAAGGAAAATGGCTGAAAGGGCCTCAAGGCGGTTCTGCAGCGCTTCCGAGAAAACGGCGTCAAGTTGAGAAAGGACAAGTGTATATTCCAGATGCCGGAAGTCTGCTACCTGGAAACAGGACCGGCAGCGACGGACTGCAGCCTCTTGAGAAGAACCTGGATGCTGTGATGAAGGCTCGAAGTCCCAAGAACGTAAGCAAACTACGTTCGTACGTCGGTGTTCTCAGGTATACCATAATAAGTTTCTTCCGAACATGGCTACCTTGCTCGCTCCACTCTACGACCTTCTAGCCAAAGATCGCCGTTGATTCTGGGGTCCGGAGCAGCAAAAGGCGTTCGAAAAGTCCAAGCATAGATGCTCACTCACTTCGACCCGACTAAGCCGTACGTCGCGCCGAGTGAGACGCATCGTTGTACAGAATAGGAGCGGTGCTCTCGCATCGCGTTGGAGACATCGACAAGCCCATTGGATTCCGATCCCGAAGACTGTCGAGGGCCGAGAGAAGCTACTCTCAACTTGAGCGTGAAGCATTGGCATTGGTGCTCGGAGTGTGTAGGTTTCACGATTATCTGCTTTGTAGATCGTTTATTTTAGTAACAGATTACAAGCCCCTGCTAGGATTGTTTCGTGAGGACCGTCCGACACCAATCATGGCCGCGGCTCAAATCCAGCGCTGGTCTTTGCTGCTGGGAGCCTATAACTACAAGATAGAGTTCAAGCCTGGGCTGGACAACCAAAATGCTACCTCAGTCGACTTCCATTAGCGACCCCCGAGAAAGCGACAGGTGAGCTACCTGAATATGTTTATTCGCTTCATCAGCTCGACAACACTCATCTTTCATCACAAGTGCTCCCCCAACTTACTTCGGAGGATGAGCTACTCAGTAATGTGAAGTCCTAAATACTCCAAGGTTGGCCAGGGTAGAGGAAGGCGTCTGATTCACAGATGCAAGTGTATTTTACGAGGAGGCTAGAGGTGACCGCGGTTCAAAGCCTTATTTACTGGGACCACCGACTCGCCGTTCCTGAGTCTCCACGAGACCAGATGCTGCAGCTTCTGCACGAGGCGCACCTGGGTGCGTCACCAATGAAGTCTGTTGCGCGTACAGTCGTGGGGTAGCCTGGACTTGACGGTGAGATCGAACGTCTGGCGAGCAATTGTCTCACCTGTGTACAAGCAAGGTCGATGCCGTCGGCGAAGACTCATGTTAATTGGCCTGCGACTCAGGAGAACTGGTCACGTGTTCACCTGGATTTCGCTGAACCAGTAAACTGTGCGGTGATCTTGGTCGCAGTGGATTCGTACTCGAAGTGGATAGAGGCAATCGCTATGAAACACGCCACTACCGAGTTCACAATCACGCCACCGCGAGATTTTCAGCCGGTTTGGCATACAAAGAATCATCGTGAGTGGCAATGGCAATCAGTTTACATCCGAAGTGTAAAATGAGTGCCAGAGTAAACTTGTAAAACAAAAACATGAAACTCTTACGTGCAGCGCCGTACCACCGAAAATCGAACGGCGTCGCGGGGAGAGCCGTACACAACATCAAGGGGAGGAGGGTGGGTGGGTCTCAAGAGACTTGAGACTGGCAGTTTGTCTACGGGCCTCGCAAAGGTTCTATTCAATTATACGATGCCACTGGACGACGCAAGATAAAAAATTGGCTTGCTCTTTATGTTTATACAGCCTTGATGGAGATGCGCCTCAACGGGTAATCGGTCTCTTAGCTGTAGATGAGAAATTTAGCCAGTGCGGTACAACCGCTAACCTGGGATTTTTAACGTGCATCACGCAGTAGTGAACGACGCAAGATCTCCGTCCCAGCGGCTTATATAGGGTACCAAACCCGTTCCCGCCCGGATACCTACCTCCCGCCTCCTGCCTCTTTTCTGCTCTGTTCGAGGGAAGATACTGCAAGCAAGATTTGCTCTGGCGACTCCGTCTGGGCACGGAACTTCGGTGAAGGGGAAAAGTGGCTTCCGGGACAGTTAAAGAAACAACGGGTTCCAGCATGGCCACAGTCAAGACGTCAGCTGGAGAGCTGAAGTGGCACATGGACCATCGTCCACAAAAGAGCACGGCACCCGCACCACTGGTAAGCAATTGGACACCTGAGCCACCCGATCGAGTTATAGTTTCACCAGCGCAGTCTGACGTAGCGGAAGACGAAGCCGTCCCAGCTCTTCGGCGGTCGACAAGACCCAAGAAACCCATATTTACCTTAAGGGAGGAGGAATGCTGCATCGCAGATAGAGTCTTGTTTCCGCGTGCGTGGAAGAGCACTAACGTTAACGACAAAGAAAATTCTGGTGAGCGACGGGCGAGGCAAATCGAACTCGATGGTCTCAGCGATCTGCCGATGTCCCGTCTGTACAATGAATTTACCGTTGTAAATAGTTTTACATAGACTTCAGCAATGTCTCGAGTAATGTCTAGCACATGAGAAAGAAAATACACTGTTATCTGAATTTTACTGCGTTAATTTTATCTAAAAGAAGCATATGTGATGGAACTTTCACTGTTTTCTATAAATAAAAAAATAGGACGGAATTCTATTAAGAAAATCTAGTTCTTAAAACTTCGGGTAAAATTGAAACAGGCAATTTCAGGTTCACTCCTCTTTTTGTTTATCATCTCCCTTCTGGTTACCTTCGCAACCTTTGGGAGGGGAGTTTTAGCATTGTTTTTATAGGCTGACCTCAAAAACACTTTTGGAACTAAATAAGTAATTAGTAGTTAAATAAATTGGTGTGCCGTTTAGCAACGCGAAGCGCTTACACGGTGCAAAATAGCATATCGAAGCAGCGTATTCCTACCGATTAACCCAGATAACCTTTCACTATCTGGATTATTTAACAGGAAATATGTTTCTGGAAAACTGAAATTCAGATTGCAGACGTAGGAATAGTTTCTGAAAACCTCAGGTCCAGGTAGAATCCAGGTAGATTTTCAGTTCCATAATCTCGACAGCAAAAGTTATACTGGGTTTTCCGCTAGGATACGCAATGATGATCTACCTGACGCCACTCTTCCAGAACGTCAGGATCACTTTGTTGATCCTCCTCTGCTTCTTCATAATCCACGTACCAAGCACCAGCAGTCCAGACGTCTTAGAAATGCTCCTGAAGCTTTGCGGTGAGACACCTGCATTTTGAATTCATTTCTCGGGTTTTTGTATTTGGCAGACGATGTCGGGTTTTTCGTTTTCAGGTGACACTCCACTCCGTGGCACGCGTTTCCTCGTACTATTTTCAGTTGCTACCAAGGCTAAATTTTCCCGGCAGAACACGAACACAACTTTTCTGGGGAAGCGATACGAAAGATTCAAAGTTTCTACTAACTAACGGTATCGGTTTGTATTGCATACGCACTGCACGTAAAGTCACGTGACACGCGTCACGTTATCACGTGACCGCTTGATACATAGTGGCACAAACCACCTGACCGTCGCACGTAGAATACGCACGACGATTTTGTCGGGTATGACCGCTGTGCATTGTTTTGTCATGTTTAATGGTTCAGGTCGAAATCTGTCTTGTTTTTCAGAACTGAAGCACCAGTCGAGGCTGGATGCTGTCACGTGCATTGGAGCGAAGACAAAATCGAAAGTAAGCTCTTACTCGCAGTGATGATGATGATGATGTTGCGGTTTCCCTTTTGTAGCGGGAGAGCTTAAAGAATCTTTGTGCCCTAACCGAGGCTAACTCCTGATTAGACGACTCTATCTAGCGAGAAAACAGTAAATTAAAAAAAAAAGAAGGTTTCTTTTTTCTTTTTTTACAACGACTAGAAAAATTCTTATTGTCTTAGTGACGAAGACGGGAACCGACGGCGTCTTGTCCTTGTGTAACAAATAAATTGCATTAGAAAGGTGACGATTTGCATTTGCAACTCATTACTAAAATAAAATCACGCGCTGTAATTAAAAAAATTCCAGAAAATAACAACACCTTTGAGGGGATTTGTGACCCAGTGTGAGAGGCACAAATTAAGAGCACTATAATCTCAGTTTGGTTAATTCTTTTAAATTAAATTGAAAGTGAGATTGTCCTTAAATATATTTCACAACATGGCCACTTAAATCGAAGGGCTTGTATACGGGGTAAACAGAAGTTGCACTTAATCTTTATCGCGTTAATATCTGCATCGGAAACATTTTATAAATGTACCAGTCGAGGCATTACACTCTGAGGGGATGGTATGCCCTCTCGCGTCAGTGTGCCTGTGATCGGAATTTTGAACCACTCATTTAAGGTTTGACTTGAGACATCCTTGAAAGGTCACGCTACATTTTTATAAGCTACTAAGCTCACAACCTGGTGTTTCATACTCTAAGAAATCTGGAATGTCCACGTTTCCGCAAAGAAACGCTCTTACGAGGGCCAGTCGCTAGAATCCATGGAAGGAGCTCAGCGAATGCTGAGGCTAAAATATATATCTATACCTTTAAAAAAAAAAAAAAGAAAGAATGAAAAGTGCTGGGTTGTGGCATTAAGCATGCTTAAACGTCAGGCACAAAGCCACAGCGCTGTGTCAAAGATGAGAGATGGAACGACCCGTCGGGTCGCTCCATCCCTCGAATCTCCGGCAAATATAGGTATTCCCATTGTTTTCTTCTCGATTATCCGGACGCATACATCGTAACCCCAGCGTCCGCCGCAGTTTCCGAGCAACCTGGCCATGTGCGCCCACAACTCGTTCAAGGGCGAGCTGCAGCTGAAGGACTTCGGGCTTGGCACCCTGTGTTTCTCCGCGAGCGTTCGAGGCTTCGAGGTCGGTTCGGTGAGTCGGCCGCCTCGTTAATCGCTCTACATACGACGGAGCAGAGCAGCCCCCATCAGCAACATCGATATCATTAATTACTGGTACTCAGATTGAGAGCGATAGTGACGATGAAATCGGCAAATTGGGCGTCTGTTTATTTGAGGTAGGAGGGAGCAACTCAACAGAGAGTTTTTTAGGGAACCGTTTGTGCACATCCGATACGGTACACTCAAATACTAACTGCGCAATTGCGACGGCAGAAGACTAGCTCGCAACAGTGCGCCGTTTGCCCCCCAGTGCATCGTAACTATATATATTTACCAGGGTGTAAGATAGACAGGTGGGGAAACGGCCCATAGAAGCCTACCGCAGCGCCGTGACCGGATTGTGTACTCGTCTGCTTGCGGGTACCCCCAATTTGCGACAGATGGCGCTGCGGCGAGAGGAAAAAAATTGGAATCGAATTCGCATGGAACTTTATGGGAGAATACGCAAAATAAACTAAGAGCACGACATTCCTTCATTGAAAATCCACGAGAAATCATCTCCATCAGTTTATCCGGTCGCCACCGGTCACCCACCCGGAGTGAGAGTTCGCGGTGCTCCACATAGATGGCGCCACAGAAAAAGAGAAACCCGAGGGGGACACAATCCGGTCGCTCATTTGGCTCTCGTTTCCCCACCTGTCTATCTTACACCCTGATATTTACTGACAATTTACAAGACTTAGGGCTAGGTTTATGATGTATCAAGCTTTGTGATTGGTTGTTCGGCGTTTTTACTGGCCAATGGTGCAACCTGATTGGCTGAGGAGTGATAACAGGAGGCTCGGGGACGCATCACGCCCCGGCGTTTTTTAAGTTGTCGGTGTTTTAAGGGTCCCTTCTGTTGTCTGTAAGGTTTGGCTACTTGCGTGTTGTGCGGGAAGGTAAACGCGCATACGTTTTTTTTTTTTTTTATTGCGTTAACATGCACTTTAGAGATGTTAACTTTTAGCATGCAGGAAATCGTGAAATTGTAGAATCGACCTATTTGACAAATATATATATATATATATATATATATATATATATATATATATATATATATATATATATATATATATATATATATATATATATATATATACAACACGGGCACTTCACACCATCGTACGTGATCTCCGAGGAGGATATAAATGAATTTGTGCAGATGAATGAACCGTACTTAATCCAACGAATTAAAGAATCCAAGTTTTCAGGAACCCACCGAAAGCCAAAAAACGGCGGAGCCAGGATGTGCACTCTGGGCCTCCCAATGTCCGGTCGGGTGTGCTAACCACTACACCACTCCACCTTGGCTTCCTGGCGTTTCCTACCTGTCTTATTAATGCACAAGAAACGAAATGTATCTAATCGGAGGTGTTCTGGAAACACCCGCCGCCGCGTGGAACGCGGTACGACGCTTAGTGTCACGTGGTACGTGCTCGTTTGTGCTCCAGAAATCCTCCCACTGTTTGTCTCGCCCCGTGTACATGAAGTAGTATTCTTTGTTTATGAGCTTTAGAGACACGGTATCATCATCATCTGCGAGAATCAAGAGCCACGTTATTGAATATACAACACGGGCTCTTATATCCTCCTCGAAGGATATAAATGAATTTATATCCTCCTCGGAGACCACGTACGATGGTGTGAAGAGCCCGTGTTGTATATTCAATAACGTGGCTCTTGATTCTCGCAGATGATGATGATACCGTGTCTCTAAAGCTCATAAACAAAGAATACTACTACATGTACACGGGGCGAGACAAACAGTGGGAGGATTTCTGGAGCACAAACGAGCACGTACCACGCGACACTAAGCGTCGTACCGCGTTCCACGCGGCGGCGGGTGTTTCCAGAACACCTCCGATTGGATACATTTCGTTTCTTGTGCATTAATAAGACAGGTAGGAAACGCCAGAAAGCCAAGGTGGAGTGGTGTAGTGGTTAGCACACCCGACCGGACATTGGGAGGCCCAGCCTCCCAATGTCCGGTCGGGTGTGCACAAGAAACGAATACATACATACATACATACATACATACATACATACATACATACATATGTATGTATGTATGTATGTATAACGGCGTCGCAAATATCGCGAATTGAAAAATTTGCGAAATTTATAAGGGCACGCGAAAATTTCGGTTCATAAGATTTTCAACGCAGGCGTCTGGACTTCGCGAAATTCAATGGCCGCGATTATTTCCTCTTTGACCAATTTGCGAAAAATAAGGGCCGCGAAATTAAAGGGTTCTACAGTATATAACGGCGAAGTCTGACTTGTCGGGGGTTCGAAAATCCCCAAACGAGTTTGTGACAGTTTTGGGAGGTTTTACGGCCCGAAAAAAAGTCACCTCGAGTTAGAACTTTAGAAGCAGAATACACACACCCACGAACTTCGCGGGACAAAAATGAGAAAGCGGTCGTTTTTTTTTTTGGTCAATGATCTAACCAATTATTTCAAGATCTTTCGTGATGTTAAATAACTTTTACCAATTTTCCAAGAAGACAGTGGGCATGCCATTAAAACCTTAGTAAAACTACAAAAAAATAATGTGCGTCAATTGTTTGTCAAGTTGAACATACAACACGGCGAAGTGGTAAACGTTTTCGTTAGAGTAAAAAAAAAAGAAAAAAAAAACAGGTGGAAACAAGGACGGATTTGTTGTCTATTAATTTTCTCCCTATTGTTTTTCTATGCTAATTTTTTTATTGAAAATATTTTGCACATAAGGTTTTTTTTTGTATCTCTTTTTATCTCGAAATAATCTTCGCGCCCTAAGCGTCCTACAAAACCCAAAATTAAGATTGCACGCGGTTTGTTTCTGTTACAAATCCGATAAAAGGCATCGCGATCCACCAGAATTGTTTTTTAGATATCTCATGAAAAAAATGGCGCGAGTCGCGATGTTTGGTTGCATTTTAGTTAGGAATAAAGTCCAGAGATATCCATCATTATGGATTTCTGGAAACTAAGTCCCTTGTATTTGAGCGCGACGTCACCTTAGAGAGAAGTGCGTTCCAAGACTTTTGTTTTTTGCTTTACCCTGACCGCCTTCCTCAATTTCTGCGTTCATATATATATATATATATATATATTAACTACAGACAGTAGCGGTGTTTACACAACCGTAATGCTATCGGCATTTACGTAATGTAAAAACAGTCAAGAAATGCTGCCGCCCCCTTTCGTCTTCTCGTCGCATTATCGATCTTACTTTATGTGATTGCTGTTCACCGATTAAAAACTATTTACTGACGATTCGATGACCTTCTGATTAATTATACGATTAAAGCTTTCCATAACCTTGTCGAGCAACAATGGCTGCCGCCATATTTTGGGAATCGCTCCTATGCGAACTGTGTGATTAGACCCCGAGTCCGCGCCGAGCGCTGACGAAGCACTCGTGTCCGCTACATATTCAGAGTGCAGATGATGGCCTCAATTAAATAAAGCAACAGCTAATAAATGACACGCGCGCAAAAAGAAGAGAAAAAAAGTTTTGAACGGAACGACCGGCCTACGAGGATGGGTTTCGCTCATGTTTTGTGCAGAGACACATAGATGGCGCCACGTGCTCCTCTCGTACCTTAAAGAGTCTCGATCTAAGAGAGGGGGCAACTCAAAACATGAAGGGCTCTTGCAATTTAATGGCGGACGCCTCCTACGCACATTGATCGGGTGCATGTGCGCATGCGAGCGCTGTCGCGCGGCGAGGAGGATAGAGTACAAAGAGGCAGAGAAAGGCGGGGAGGCTTTCAGACGATGAACGCTTTAGCCTTCCACTTTCACCTTGACCTTGCGTTGCAAACAGGGATCTAAAGCAACGTGACCCCGACCGCGCAGATGGGGAAAAATACTTTAGAATCTGGGCACACTATCCTCCTCACCCGCTTCCAACATTTATCTTTTTTTTTTTTTTTTAATTTTCTTTTTTTACGATTTCGCCGTACCGTACGAACTCGAAATTGGTTTCACAATAAGAGTCCTGCGGCCGAGCTACGTCGACAGCTATCGATTTGAGAGAATACAATCAAAATTACATCGTAAATTCGCCTTTCACGGTTTGTGACGGGCGGCTGGTTTCTGGATTAAAAAAAAATAAATAAGACCAATGTTTCGTTTGCTTCGTTGCAAACGAAAGTTCTAAGAAGTTCCTGAACAGAACATATTTGTTATAAAAGTAGTGTACACTTTAAGAAATCGGGAGCGTCTGCTTTCCCGCAAAGGCGCTTGGGATAGATAGCCAATCGCTACCGTCTGCGGAGGAAGCTCGACGAACGACGATGGAGAATATACGTTTAGACGTAGAAATATACGGCGAATTGCTAGGCAATAGTGTTGCATACGTGAAGTGTTCTAGCATCAAAAACGTTTTGCGATACTCTGAGTTGCCAGACGCCTCTGTTCACGGCGTTCTTCGTCAGGTAGTTTCATGCACACCACGTGTACTCTCGATAGTTGTTCCTCGAATGAAGCCATACTACCGCTAATCGGGCCGATAAACCTGGCAATCTTTCAGAGCCTTCTATGCTCGCGAGCTCCTGGTGTGCGCAGGTGGTCGAGCTCCTCCTCGCCTACCCCTCTGTTCACGTGACCTCCCCGTTAACCAATCAGCGTCGAGCACCTCCACTTCCCCTCTCCCACCCGCCAACCAATCAGTGTTGAGCGTCGCGGCCACGCTTTTATCTTGGCTTCACGAAATGTCGAAAACCCAGTCAAAGAACGTTCTATGCGTTAAAACGCAGTCTCCGCTGTGGCACCGAGCCACGATGTTTCACCATGAGCAGTGCCAGAGCATTGACTGTTTTCTAAAGTGGTTAAATCAATCATGCACGGAATGAAAAAAAAAAAGAGTGTAGGATTGCGGCTCGTTTACTGCGCGGGTTTACTCAGACGGCGAGCTTGTTGCACATAAACAAACCATTGAAATGCGATGTTGTCGGCGTCGGTATGAGTCCGCCTGACCTTTTTCGCATTCGAATTGTTCATTCTACAGCTTCCTGGCAACGTCTGAC